GCCGCTACAATTTCCCATCAGTGGGGAATGAACCCCTCGAAGATTATTCAGGGTCTGCTCTGCCCCCAGGTACTGGCACTGTCACGGCCACCACTGACACAGGATTGTTTAGAGGAAAGCATGTTCAAGGGTGAGCACGAGAAGACAGGTGGAATTTCTCCTCTCCCGTGGTTATCAACAGATACTTTAAAGCACCAGTGGAGGAAGCGCTACACTAACAATGCTCTTGAAACAGAAAAGATCTCGAAGACATTAGAAATGCAAGGAATCAAACAGTAGTTTTAGAACTGAAAAAAATCTATCCAAATCGAAAAAAAAATCACATTTTATGTAGCCCAGAAATCAACCTTTAGTGTTTCCTCAGTTGCTCTCCGCTGTGGATCTTCAGGTAGCTCACTAGCTGACAAGACTGGTCAGCCCTTGAGTTCTAGGGTTCACCTATCTCTGCCTCTCCTTTCCTCCCTCCCAGGACTGTTTAGGGTCGGTCCCAGAGGTCGTCATGCTCTGTGATGAGCACTTTGCTAACTAAGCTGTCTCCCTAGCCCAAGGTACTTTCTGAATGAGTAGAAGCGGAATCAGTGTGGGTAAAAGGACTAATGCATATCCAGGCTGTCGTTTCCCACAAACCCTTACAGTCTTAGTCAAGTCAAGTAGAAGTCGTCCACATTGGCGATAATTTCCTCACTAACCTCTTCACTGGATCTGTATGTACGAATGGTCTCATTCTGGAACCTTGAACCTGTAATCCGCCCATCTCACACTGAGAATACAGGCAGGTGCCACTGTGCCTGCCTCTTTTTATCACAGGTTTTGTTTGAGGTGGTTTCTTGCCAGGTAGCCCCAGCTGAACTGATACTTGCTATGTATGTGGCCCAGGCATCCTTGAATTCATGGCATTCAGCTTTCCAAGAGTGTGAATGATAACCTTGTGCTACCATGCCCAGTTTTCTTATCACATTTTGTGTGTTGTTTTTGAAACAAATGACATTTTAAATTTATTTGATGTATCCTGATATGCTTCTTAAAAGATGTTTATCTTTTGTTTTGGCCTGCAGGTTATCTGAATATTGATACCTGCTAGTCATGTGTGGTTAAGTGTTATGTGTTTCTTTGTCTTTGATAATTTAGCAACTGGATCCTGGAGCTTGATCAGATTCAGAGTTATATTTTTTCTAAGACAAGAGAAGGCAAAAGTAGTTACAGGTTCTTCCTAACCGCAACTTCTGATACTGACTGCACGTGTTCTGGAAAGGGTGTGAGTTATGACATATTCATTGTATTAATTAGTTTTCATGCATCAGATACATTCATACGAATTTAAAAAACATTTGTACATGTATGTGTGTGTGTGTTTGTGTATATTTGTGTTGGTTTATGCCTGTGCACATGTAAGTACACAGGTCAGAAGTTGGAGATTTTCATACAGAAAAAAATTAAAATGTATGTGTGTGTGCATGTTTGTGTATATGATATGTATGCATACATGTGTACGTGTGTGTATGATATGCATGCATACATGTGTGCATGTATGTATATTTGTGTATAGGGGTATATATGTATAAATGTTTGTATGTGTTGTGTGTATGTGTACACACGTGTTTGTGTGTTTACTTGTGTGGCATGTATGTATGTGTGGGGTGTGTATGTATGCATGTGTGTTGCGTTTGTATATGTTTGTGATGTGTCTGTGTACATGTGTCTAAGTGTGTATATATTTGTGTGTGTACATATTTGTCAGTGCGGGGTGTATGTGTACCTGTGTATGTGTGGTGAGTATGTGTGTGTATGTATATACCTGTGCCCATGCGTGGATAGAGGCCAGAAAAAGTCCTCCAGTGTTCTGTTTTCTCACACTTTGCCTTATTCCTTTGACATAGGGTCTCTCACTAAAGCTGGAGTCAGACAAGGCTCAGGAACTGTCCTGTTTCTGCCAGTCCATTCCTGGGTTTTTATATGGTGTTGGGAATTCAAACTCAGGCCCTCATGCTTTTACAGGGTGTGGTTTTTCCCAGTGAGCGGTCTTTCCCAGTGAGCCATCTCCCTATTTCATTGTAAGGTGGACCAGAACTAGAATGGCCCGTAATCATTCACTGGATTTATTGGAGTTGGTGATGTTGCTCAGTAGAACATTTGTTGGATTTTCTTAAAAATTGTCTTTTCTCAGTTCATACTTGAACACACTACCAGGGAATGACCTAATGCTTCCAGAAGCGTCTCAGATATTGAATTGGCTTTTTCTAAGACTTTATTATTAAATGCATGTTCAGTTCCTGATACTTATAGTTGTTAAACATGTTGCTGTTTTTACACGTCATCTTTTGAGTATTGGGAGAATCAGATAAACCGGAAACATTGACGAGACTCGCAGATAAACGTGCCGGTTGTTTGGGGTTCATTTTCTTTCATAGTTTCCCATCAGAAGTAGAGAGACCCAGTGCATGGGTGGCTCTCCATGTCTTTCCAAACTCACCCTTCTCCACACTGTGTAAGAAGATTAAAGAAAACTGAACTATTACCTCAAAAGAGTTACACTGCTCGAGGGGGGCTAATCAGCTACGGTAGGCAATTTGCATATTTTGTAAGGAGGGGAAGCTTTTATAATTCCCAAATTATACAAAGTTAGTGTCAGCTAAGCAGAGATTCCAATCTGGCTGTGTATCAGATCACTGTCAGAACTTCCCAAAATTCAAGCTAGGAGCTCACTGAGTTAGCAAACCCATGGTCTGAAGAGCGTGGAGATAGGCAAGAGCATGGCTAGTGACTTCCCATGGTCCACCAGATGGAGCCTTTGAGTCCGAAGAGATAGTTGGAGGTTTCTATTAGTCTGGTCTCGGAGGAGGAGCAGATGGTGAAATTGCCATTTTTAATAGAGGACATATACATATGGTCCATAGAAAGTGTAAGAGGACAGCTGGTGTGTCTCAGACCACTGTGTGGTCAGCAGACGGTGGGACCGTTCTTATGTGAGCTGGCCACACGGAGAGCACTACCGTCTCTCACCGTTTCTTGGTCTCACATCTTGATAGATCCTCTTCACGGAGGTTTTGCTTTCATGATCTTTAATGGGAATTTTAATACCTTTTATTATTAATATAGTTTGACGTATTTGTCTTTGTATCTTATTTGTTTTATAAAGTAAGGACACTTTATTCTAATGTTTTTAAGATTAAAGCATGCGAGAATCTCACAGGAAGCTGTCATGCTTTTACCTGGTCTTGTAGATCCATGACAGGCAATTCTTTGCTTCATTTGCTTTATTATTTCCATATGAGTCTTTCACTTCCCATCCCATAACTGTGTGCTAAGTGGGTGATGGATTAGGCGTATGCATTTATATTGTTACATAGCACTCTAATTCCAAATACTGTTCCAAGAAAATGCTAATATAATAGCTAATACTTTCACAAGGATAATCAGGACAAATACTAAAGGCTTAAATAATTATCACCAAATGAAAAAAGGAACATTAAATTCCTGTAAATACTGAAGTCATTATGAACACTCTTTGCTAACAGTCATAAAAATTTACATGGCCACGATTTGAGACAAACACAACATTTTAAACTGATATAGAATAGAGCTAGTGGGCACTCATAATTAAAACAGCAACTCTACTCATGAACTCTAAAAATTACAGAAATCATATCAATCTCATACATTTTTCTAGAGAATAGAAAAAAAAACCACTTCTGACCTTTAAATAATTTAACTATTTCTTATAAATATGACAGATTTAATGAGAAAATAAAATTCTATTTAAAAATTATTAGATACAATTATGACTTAGCAAGGAGAAAAGACTTTATCCTGTGTTTAGAAGTGTATATATAGAAGACTCGAGCTTATAAACAAATTTAACAAAATTATTGCAAGATCCAGATAAAAATATTTTTTCACTGAAATAGAAAATAAAATTAGAATGTCAATTGACAGTATTACCAACGAACCATTGAAAACAAACTGTAAAACAACTCTGTTAGATGCTATAAACCACTGTTAGTTTGGAATAATTAAGGAAAATATCAAGAAATTGGGGACTGAATAATGATCATTAAAAATTTAATATTTAATATTGTTATTTCTTTAAAAACTCTAAATTACAGAAACTGATTGGAAAATTTATGTGGCAATGAAAGATTCCTAAGTAAAAGTTCTATATTTAGAATAGCTGAAATACAGTCTAGGATAAATACCAAATATAATTAAAATTCAATCGTTAGTATACTTTTGTTTTAAAATGGTAGAAGACTTCTGGCTTTAGTTTTGGTACTGGAAATTTACACTGAGCAGAGTAGGTATACGTGCATAGGAGTATGTAATAAAGCAAAGAGGGAACAATTTATATGTTACCTTTTTACTTGAAGCAATTCTTAATTACATGTAGTTTATCAATTTGTCAAAAGTGATTGTAGTGCTGACACATTGACTGTTGTGTTGGCAGGTTACTTTGTAGTCATACATTCAACTTTTTGTGTAGGAGAAACATTTAAAAACCATTCCTAGGCATTTACAAGGATGCTGGAGAGCCACATTTCCTTCCAAGGATTTAAATGTATGTATATCGATTGTGCTGACTTCATTTCAACAGACTCTGAATGGGAAAACCTGGGGATGGTTTGAAGGAAATAGCTATCTATAAGTGGGACTATCTGTGAATCAGGGAAATTCCTCCTGATCGCGAGTGGTTGGCAGTGGTCACATAAATGATGGTCACTTCCAGTTAGTCCTTGTAAAATGTAAGCCAAGAGCTTGTCTATGTGCTTGATGGGTATCTACTGCATTGTGTTTGATGTGAGGATACAGTGGCCTGGCTGGGACACAGAATTCAGGATGCCTCAGCATGTAGCTCAGGTTACTCTACCTGGCCTGAAACTAGACTCTCCCTCATGTTACTCAAGGGGGATGAAAATCAAGCAACCACAAGTTTTTAGATAATAAGGCTTTGTTCTATGCTTTCTTTGAATGATAAAGTTTAAAAAATTTTTTACTTTTAATTTCAGAGAAAATTTCACAAGAGATATGTGTGGTTGTGAACACAAAAGATGAAGAATCTGCAGGACATCTTCTCAAGGAAGTGCTAAAAAAGAAACTAAATGTAAGTATTCAAAGACTGGGCAGGAGTGGCTGCCACAGATTCTTGTGGTATGAAAGTATCTTCCTTGACAAAGCCCTCAAATCATTCAAATTTCATGTTGCTAGTTCCTCTTGCCCTATTTTCTCAGTACTATGATTGGAGCATGCTCCGTCTTGTCCATTCTTCTTGGGCACTGGTTCTTAACCTTCCTAATGCTGTGACCCTTTAATATGCTTCCTCATGTTGTGGTGACCACCAACCATAAAATTAATTAGTTGCTACTTCACAACTGTCATTTTGCTGCTGTTAAGAACAGTAATGTAAATGTCTGACATGCGGGATAGCTGATATGTGGTCCTTGGGAGAGGCTCATTGGACTTCCCCGGGGTGCTGTGGTGATCCACATGGGACCAACTGTTTTATTAAGATTAGTGACTTCTTCTGCTGGGTATTCTGGGGTACATAAAGTGCTTTTTAACTTTATAATTTTAACCCTTTTATTTAACAATTCTTGTGCCATCCATGTTCTTAGTATTTACTGTTACTTTAAGTTTCCTCTTCTGAGGTTGCTCCTTTTTAGATAGAGGGGCATGATTAATTATTACTTTCTCTTTGTTTTTATTTGTCTAGAATCTTCTTACTTTCCACTTTGTATTTCTTTTCAAGCCTGAGAAAAATCTGTTAACTTACTACTTTACTCTTTATTTCTGCAATGAGTGGGTTTTTCTGTTATTTCTAAGCATTTTAAAGCTGACTGTATTTTTAGTGTATCAAACGTTAAGTTAGTTTGAATCTGTTTTGTAGATAGGTCTTCCCAGTGAATCACTTTGCTCTTTATTCCTTCATTTCTTATACTTCTTTGAGATCCCGCAGGTATTCCTTTTTAAGACAGATAATTTTATGTACTGTTAAGGGGAGTTCGGGCTTATCAAATGGTTTCTACTTACCGGAGTTGTTTTCTGGAGGAGGGACACTGCAGCCCGTTGTCCTCGGACGTCCATCCCTGCTGTCCTCCTGCTGCCATGGACCTTTTCGTTATTCATGGTCTGAATCTTTTTATCAGTCTAGGTCTTTCTGCTGAAACTTTGCCCCACAAGTGTTTCGGCTGACAGCCTCTAGTGTCTTGTGTGCCCAGAACCACAGCATCCCTAGCAAAGGGAGAACGTTCATGCTTTCTCACGTTGTCCACCTCATTTTCCTACACCTGAAGCCTGGATAGCCTTAAAGAATCTTGGTGGATGTTGGGAGGAACTGCCTTTCCTGCTGTGTTCTCTCTGGCTTCTCACTTTGCTAATTCTTAAACCACACACACTCACCAGGATGTTTTGCGCTTTAACTGCTGGGACTGAATCACTCTGTGCCGTGCTCTTGCACCAGCACAGCGCTGTATGTGCTATCTTCAGAGCCACCCAGGGAGCCTCTCCTTTGTTTTACAATTACAGAAATCTTCTGGCCTTTAATTTGAACAAGGCTATGCAATCAGTGTGTGAATGTAGGTGTTGGTAGATGCAAAATGCTTTTTGTTAATTAATATCTCTCAAGCACAGATGAAAGAAAAACACCAGTATGAAATCTTGAAGTTTGGCAGGATTATAGTAAAGTCTGAAGGAAGTAGCTCTCTTGGAAAGGGATTTATCTGGTTTTATATAGATTTCTCTTCCATTATTAAAGCAGATTTATTTTGTGGTATTGCATTTTTCAGCCTGTAATTTACAGAAAAGCACAGAATGGTGAATATTATAACTCTTTACAGCGAGAGCTTTTGTGTGTCTTTGAAAGAGCATATAAAAATGATGAAGTCACACGGTTGAAATCTGCAGGGCAGATCAGTGTGGGTGTGGGGCTGTTCCTCACACAATGGGGGGACTGTTTCACTGATGGGAATAGGAGAAATGTTTCCCACTGAAGCTGAGGGAAGAGATTGGGTATATTTATGCTAATTGCCTGGGAAGAATTTTGCAACATAGATTTGGGATGACCCAAATGTCTAACTGTAGCATAATGGAGAACACCAAATCCATGTATGAGGTGGCTCTAAGTTGTCCTACTACACGCACGTGGATGCATGTGTCAGTGTACTCAAACTGTAGGACTTCACTGTCAGTCTCGCTGTCACCATTTGATTGATTCTTTTCTGGGCAGTGAATTTCAGAGAAAGAGCTCTCTAGAGGTACTCCCAGGAGACACTGAGGAGTGGGGCCTGTTTGAATGTGAGAGGCCCCTCTAGACTGATGTATTTGAACACGTGGTGTCCCATTGGTGGTCCTTTTAAAAGTCTCTAGAACCTGTCAGAGGTGAGGTCTGGTAGCCACCAGGTCACTGATGACAGGTTTGAGAGTTACAGTCTGGCATAAGTTGTTTTCAGATCAGTAGTGATGTAGCAAGCAGCCTCGAGTTCCTGCTACTACAAGCAGGAGCTGTCCTGGACTACTGCCTTCAGCACTGACACACTGTGAACTGCCCAAACAGCGGGACAGAACCAATCTGTCCTCTCTTCAGCTGTTTACATCACGTCTGCTGTCATAGCAACAGAGAAAGTAACACTGCGATGCTCTGACGGTAGCTACACTAGGTAGCTCGTAGGCTGTTGCAGCTGGATTTCAGAGGGATGTGGCTTCATGGAACCCTAGAATTCTGTAAGCAGCGCTTCAAAGCCTTCCTCCCCGCCCCTGGACATGCAGGGGAATGAAGGTGAAAGTGTGGACAGTAAAAACTGTCGAAAGTTTCAGAGAGGGACGGAGTTCTATTGAGAATTTCGTTGGAAGCCATTTACATTACAATGTGGAAGAGAATCTGGCTACTTCTTGCCTGTGTTCTGAACTTTCTTGTGAGGTGAAATGCAGAATTAATGCGATACTTTGATAAAGGAAATTTCCAGACAATGTAGCATCCAGTCTGGAGCACTGTGGACCGCCAGCTTTAGAGTGAGAAATAATAGAAGGAAGAGCAGGAAGGAGTGAGAAGCATACCTGCTAGCAAGGAAGGGGCGTGTGCTGAGAATAGTTGTGGACGGTAGGTGTCTGGTTAATAAGACTGACATAAAGAGAAATCCCTTGCTGTGTTCTGCAGGGACAACAGGAATGGTGCCTGATGAAGGGCGTGTTTCTCTCTTTCTGCCACACTGACACAGAGGTTCCAGCTATGATAGAAAGTGGTCCCTCTTGTTGTCTGTCTGTATCTTGAGCTTGCAGCAGAACTTGGCATTGTCCACAGGATTCTTATTTTACTAGCGTGCAGAATGCACAGAGACCTGCACTGAGGCTCCAGAGAGCTGCTATGGTAAGTCATAACTGGGGTGGGTTACCTGCGATGAGCTTCGTGATGAGCCAGATGTGCAGCTGTGATGTTGAAGGCAAAGATGCAGTGAAGACATCATGTTGTGATGCCAAGATTGTTGAGGAATGGCTGGAATCCATGGGACAGCACTAGAGAGAGTGTATGCATGGTGCTGGTCCCAGGGTGAGAGAGGCAGGGCTACACATTCTCACTGTAGCCCAGATGATTCCACCATAAACTTTTGGTGTCAAATATGTTAATATAGGTTTGCCATTTGCCCTTCTGAGTTTTGGCCTTGCTTTGGCCTGACATTTCCTTGATATGTCTACATTACTCCCTTCAGGAATGGGAGTGTTTCCTTTGCTCCAGTGTAGGCTGGAAGTGTGGTACTTCTTTGATTTTATATGGCTCACATTCAGAATTTGTCTTGAGTCTCCAAAGAGGTTTGGATTTTTGAATCTGTTGAGGACTTTGAATTTGCACTGAATGCATTTGGTAGTAATGAGATGGCCATGAATGTATTGGGAGCAAAGGTAGAATTATGGTTTGAATGACACATGTTCCCTACAGTCTCATGTTTTTGAATAATTAGTCCCTAACTTGTATCACTGTTTTGAGAAACTGTTGGATAATAGGTGACTGATTGGTGGGCTTTGGGAGTTGTTGGTTAGTACTTCTTCTGTCTTCCTGATGGCTGAGACTATTTAACCCGCCACCTCCTGACTTTGCCATCATGGTTTTCCCACCGTCATTGGCACTCTACCTTGACATATGAGCGAGAATAAATCTTGCTCCTTACAGTTTTTCTCTCAAGTGTCCTCAGTCAGAAAAAGAGTTACTAGTAGCAGTCCTCAGTCACCTCTACCTCCCAGAAAACGCTGTGATATTTACACTACTCTAACCGTAGTGAGGGATGTGTAAGTAGGAGATGTGACCAGGCTTTTGCTAATTACTTACTTCATTGACTTACAAGATAGGCAATGCCCACTACAATCAACCATTGGCTATCGTGAGTTGAGCAAGGCAGGTGTGACTCTTAGGAACTTATTGTCAAATTGGATAATAATACAGTGCATAATAATAAATACAAGTCCTAGGATACAGCTGTGTCCTGAATGTGTTGGTTCTGTCAATCAGTATGGGGTGATGAGGGGATAAAGAAAGAACATTCACAGGTACAGAAAGTCTGGGACTGGGTGGGCAGTGCTCTCTGTGATGGAACAGGATGAACTATGCACAACAACCTGGAACCTCAGCATGTTTATCATGTACAACACCAGAAGGAGGAGTTAGGGAGTCTCTGTAGGGGACCAGTCTCAAGTAGCAACCATCCAAGAGGAGGAAGCTGCAGTTGTTAGTTTTTGTGTACACTAGCCAATCTTTCGTAGACTCTCACACTTGGACCAGAGGAAGGTTCCCCCGCTCCCTGAGCCGTCCTTGGAGGAAGGCTTTGCCAGCTCCCATGGATCTGAACCATCAGGATCCTTGATATGGGAAAAAATCTTCTCTGCTTAGATAAGACGCTTTTTGGGAGTGAGAGTCACTAAAAGAACTCTCTCAACAGACACACTGTTTAGTTCAGCCTAAAAGGGGCTAGGGGATCTGGAGCAACTTAAAGGTCAAACCCAAAGGAGCCCTGTTGGGAAAGGTACAAGAAGAGCCTTATGCCAGGAGAACGACCCAGCGTTCAGTGATCTGAATGGAGATGGAGCGGTGGGAGGTGAGGCAGAGGTAGGGCCCGAGCC